ATTTCACAAGAGGCCCAGTGCACAAATTCGTACATGGGTGGGATCTGGCTGGCCCAGCACAATTGTTGCTGATTGGGCTGGGCCAGCAGGGGGCAGGAACTACAGGTGGTTGGGGCCAGCCCTGCCCTCAGTGGGGGTAGGGAAGCTGATCAGGGGTGGGGCCAGATGGGGGGAAGGGCTATGGGCAGTTGGTGGTCTGGCCCTGCCTCCTGGTTGTACTCCAGTCAAGAGGACAATTTTCATATTACCCTTTTATTATATAGGATTCCCCTTTTCCTCCTATTTCACACTTACTTTTCTCAAACTAAAAGGGGGGTAATCAATGTTCTAAGAACAGAACATTGTGCTTAATAAATCTTAATAAATCTTTCTCACTGAGAGAACTAACTAGCATATATTCTAATCAACATTAATTTAATAATAAATTGGGGAAATTGTCCCATAGCCTAATCTATATATATAAAAGCCTAAGTGGCCATTTGACCGGTAGCTATGACGTGCACTGACCACCAAGAAGGCAGACACTCAATGTACAATCATGGAAACATGGAACAAACTGGTGAATCTCAGAGGGAAAGGTGGGAAGAGATTAACCAAAGATCTAAGAGGCCCAGGGGATGGATTTGTGCATTGGTGGGGTCCCTTGGTCTGGCCTATGGGGATGGGCCAAAACCAGCTCTCTGACATCCCCCAAGGGGTCCCAGATTGTGAGAGGGCACAGGCCAGGCCAAGGGATCCCACTGGTGCATGTATCTGTACACCAGGCTCCTAGTTTATAAATAAACGTTGACTCGTGCATACTTGTCTCCATCTGATACTGGCCTCCTATCTAAGTTAATTCAAAGACAGTTTCCCTAATTTTCTTTAATCTCTGACACTTCTATTATAAAGAAAGGGTGAATATTAAAATACTTTTCCTAATTAATTTCCTTTCAATGTGCATGAACCCAGTCACTAATATACAATAAAACTACAAAATCAACTTGGGGGGGTATATTTAGAATTACAGAATTCCATTTTTAAAAATTATTATGAGTAATTGACATTTTAAGGTTATATAGAAACACATGCTCTCTAAAAGAGGAGGAAATGGAAGAGGACTGACATTTATTAAATGTTTGTAGTATCTCCTTTTATCCTCTTGGTCAAGAGTCTTAACAAATAAATGTGTGAGTGATAGTACTCTGATTTTAAAATCTTAGATTTATTAAATACCCTTTCCCAAGGGTACATGATTAATAAGTGCAATTTACATTCTAACTTAATCGAAGGTCATATGTTCTAGTGTGAAATGTCATTCCATCTCTAGAAGCTAAATTAAGAGGGACGGTGGGAGAAATGTGTGTATAAATAGTATCAAGAGAGGAATTATTTCACTGAGCACTGAAAGAGTTTGTATCATAAAGAAAATACTATGAAACATGAAAATAGGGAAAGTGACATGTAAAGAAATAAGCAGTAATACATTTGGGTAGGAAATCTGCTTTTAATATAACTTCAACTTGATTTAGTTATATTTACACTGTGAACTGAATTATTATCTACAGGCAAAGTCATCCAGAAAATTAAGGGAGGCATATTTGATAAACATAAAAAAATAAAATTTTGACAGAATAAAATAAACAACATTTAGTAATTACATTAAGCATGTTTTCAATCCCATAGTAAGCTATTTAAAATAGAACAACTGTTCAAAGCATGCTGCCAAATGTCTTCGAAATGACTTGTTATGAAATGTTGACTAAATATCCCCAAACTCTATATCAACTTTAGTATAATTAAACATTCTTCAGTCCAAAAACAGAGTTTTTATTTATATTCTGAAATGTAAATTCCACGTGACTTTCTCCTTCATATTAGGACCAAAAAGATTACCCATTTTTTGTTAACATTCACAATTTTCAGAAAGTTTCCACTAGTTACATAGGCTTTATAATTTATAAATTGCTTCCACATATTTAATTCCAAAAACTAACCTATTAGGGAACATTTTGTTGTAATACTCATATTTTACATTGTAAGCATTTAGCACACAATTATTTAATAAGTATTTTTAGATTCACTATTTACTAAATAATATCTACTGGATGAATTGCATGAATGCATGATTAAATTTAGTTCTGATGGGTGGAGTGACTGGAGAAGTGGCCAAGCCCGAGTCGCATCTTCTGATTACTCAGGAAGGCCATGATTAGGAACATGGACAGCGTTAGGTTTTATCAATACACACATGACCAAACATGATATGTTCAATGACACTTCACATGTTCACTGTGTTCTCCTCTGGGGTCATGGTAATTCAGAGTTGCAAAGAGTGGGGTGCTTTAATGCAGCCTTTTATGTCAATCTCCACACACTCATTTGAAACGCATTGCCTCAGGTGATTTGTGCCGCTGGTTTTTACTGAATAAACCTGTATATACGGCATTCAAGAAGAAAAGAAGGAAGCTCTATGCATAAACAAATTACCTTTATTTCTAGAATGTATGGCTCCTTGCTTGCTTGCTTTGTTCTCTCTTTCCCCACCACACAAAAGCTGCTTCATTCCTTGCATTCCCCCAAGTATGAAAAGTAATGGGCTATCCCCTGATATGTAGTCCCACTTCACAGAGGGAAGCCATGTAAGGTTGTTGCTATATTAGAACAATGTTGTACCAAAGTTCAGAAACTTGAGATCAGTTACTTCTGGGTTTTTTTTATTCCTGTTACCCTGAGCCACTCTGTCTTGCCCTACTGACCCTGTCAAAGTAAAACCATCTCATGTTTTGTATTCTTTACCGCCATTGATATATTTCTCAGAACTTTCCCCTGTACCCTGTGCAAATGGAATTTGATTTGCAAACCGATTCTCCTTCAATGCTATTCAAATAACACTCCCCATGCCTTTCTTTGCCTTATTTGAAATGGGTTCTTCTAGAAGACACTTCTTCCTTCCCCAGGGAAGATGATCCTTCTTTCAGTTGCCACGTGTCTTGACATGGTGCTTGCACCATGAGGAAGCATGAAACAGTCTACTTGAAACTCTCCCTTTTTTTAGGTTCACACCATTTGTCCTGCTGTCCAGTTTCTCTGTCACTATAATCCTACCACTCACTTCTGTTCTTTCATATGGAGCACTTACATTTGGCTTGCTGTTTTCCTCTCTACCACAATTCCTATTAGGAAAATTTGACTATTAAGTGGGTGACTTATCCAATGTCCGACCATTATCATTCCTTGACTATCTCAAATGTAATCGTCTCCTGTGGTAATGTATTTTTTATTTTATTTATTTATTTTTGTCAAATGTGAAATAGCATCCAACTTTAAAATTTTAGATTATTATATTCTAACTAGAGGCCCAATGCACGAAATTCATGCTAGGGGCTTAGCCCTCACAGCCCGGCTGCCTTGCGGCCCTTCCCACTGGTAGTTCTGGAAGGTCATTTCGCCAATGGGTCTAATTAGCATATTAGCTCTTTATTATATAGGATCTCTGTTCCACACCTCCTGCCCTTAAGATACTCTACACTTTGATTTTGTTTGGTGCCCACACACTTCACTACTCCTTTTTCTTCAGGTATGTCAGGCCACAGCTGGCTTTATTCTTCACCCTGAAGTCCATGCTACATGAAATATTGATATTCAACCTGTGGTCCATGAACAACAACATCTTAGGAACTTGTAAGAAATGCAATTCCCTTGGCCTCCATCCCACATTTCCTAAAGTCAGGAACTCTGATAGTGGAGCTCACAGCAATCTGTGTTTTAAAAAGCTCTCCAGCTGACCTGATACCCTTAAAATTTGAGAACCTCTAACATAGAGCATTAATTCAACCCAAAGGTGAATGCATCATTATTTTGTTCCAAAATCCTTCCATGTTTAAGACTTCTAAAAATGTACCAAGTTCTCCAGCTTTATTAAATATAGCACCCTTTCCATATACAATCATCACAACCACCTTCACTCCAAATGTACTTTGTAGCTCCTATTTATATAAATTTGAATACTGTAAAACCATCAAATGCCCACTCCTTAATGATACTTCCAAAGGCATTTTTTTTTATAAGAATCCTCAGTGGAGAATTCTGAGCAATGCTACTGACTCAAGCTCACCTACTAGTATATAGGAACGGATGGGGCCACGATTTGAATTCTGGTCTATTGAGTACAAATCTATGCTTTTTCTCTTTCACTGCTGAATTATATAAACCAATAATTGCATTGATATGACTCTGGTTGAAGCAGTACCCACCAATGGATCCCTATAGAATTTTTAAAAGTGAGTTACATAAAATTCTATCATCTAATCACTTTGCTAAACATCAGGTTAAATAGTTATTTTAATTGTAGGACTTTTAAGACCCTTTAACATCTTTGATGTGTACTGATTCCTTTATTTCACTGCTTTTATCCTCTTTACTTCCTCATGGTTTTAATCTTTTCCCACTAGGTTTACTCTCCTGCCTTAGGAATATATTCAGAGTAATTACATTTAGCATGTAGTATTATAGATGTAGTATATATGTATCTATATGCACTACTTCATGTAAAGCTCAATAACTTTGTGATGATAACATGAAATTACAAATGTTACAGCATCACAGTACTGTGACATGTATATATCCAATCCAGAATAAGCTGTGCTAAGGTAACAGCCTGTAGGGTACTGCTTTCCTGCCTAACCCATGCTGAACATAAGCATTACGACTTGCATTGAGATAGTGTCTTCCTGCAACCGACATGTATATTCCTAACACTATTCAGAGGGGCATTTGGGGCTGGATTTTATTTAAAAATAAAGTTTAAATTGAACATGACTGAATTATGATGTGAAAATATACTCACTATTGAACAGTTAAAATATGTGATTGCAGTTCACTGTATAGTATAAATGTAATTTTACTGTGAATTTCATTTCATTCTCACTCAAAGTTGGTTAAACCAGGGGGGATTGTGTTTAACAGATGCTTCCCAGTGAAGCGTGTTATCTCCCTCTCTCTTTTTTCCCATCGTGCAGGTTCTACCGACCTTCTTCTTTGTGTTCCGTGCTCTTCTTGTCCTACTCTGGTCTACTCTGGTACGTTCGCTCAGGGCGCTTACTATTAATGTCGGGTGATTATGGGTACTATCCAAAACTGCCCAAGGATCAGATTTTCTAAAATAGTCTTCATGGCCTATAACGAGAAAAAAAAAAGATTTTCCTTCAGGTCCTCTGCACAAAGGTTTCCTTCTTTCTGTGATGTTGTGTGGCTCTCTGGCTCCTCACTGAATCTGTGCTCACTGGGGAGGTAGAAAGGGAATTTGAACTCTTCTTCTTGGCAGGAAAATCACTTTTAAACATATGTGAGATGAAAACATATTCTCCCACTGTGCAGTCCACAGATTCTGTAGCACCTTTAAATATATCCCGGAGACACAACATCTCAGAACAATTTCAGATCTAGCCTATGAAGTGAATATATAAACATGAGCAGTTCATAGTATATTCTCTCAAATATGTCACAGAGAGAAGCAAAGGTTGAGTTTGTTCTTAGCACTCAGAGTCACAGCATTTCAAAATTAGAAAGAATGTAAAACGGGTTACATCTCTTCCAATATCATGCTGGTCATTTCTCTGCACAGCCCCTACCAAATGGTCACTCAGCTTCTACATAAAATGAAAAGTATACCCTCTACTTTGGCAGCTCATTCAGTTTTGTTCTGCCCTGATTACTCACTGACCCAATCATTCTATATTAATAAATCACCTAAAAAAACAATTTGTACAATGCAGCACTGTGTAGTTATCAGAATATTATTATGTTCATTGCACAAGTTTTATAATAAACATGAGAACTGTCTTATAATAAAAAATATAAAATGTGTAAAAATTTTAAAATCATCTAATGATCAACAAAAGAGGATTTATTAAAAATGTATAGCAATCTACATAATGGAATATGGGTGATACATATAATAACTGGGGATATACATATATTATCCGGGTATATACATATATTAACTGGATAGATCTACCTACCTATTTCTATATATTAGTATATTCTAATATGGAAAACATTTTTATAATTTTACATAAAATGTGAGTCACAACACAGTATATTATATATACTTTAGTTTTGTTGTATATGTCACAGACACACACAGTTATATATTTATGTCTTCACAATACTGTAAATAAATGGTTACATACAAAATGGTCTCAAAAAGCCATGTTCATTGCAGCCTTATTTATAATAGCCAAGATAGGAAACAGCCTAACTGTTCATCAGTAGATGAATGGATAAAGTTGACACATCTTTTTTTTTTTTTTAATGCTACATTATAGACGTGTCATTAAGCACATTTTGTTTTGTTTTGTTTCTCTCCTACAGGTCTGTGAAACAGGCAGAGATTGCAAGTGGTCCTTAAGAAAATTGAAATTATTCAAATACTTATGTATAATCCTAATTTTATTTACTATGTGTAATCATTTAAAGAATGGTTATTTTTATAGTATCAATAACAAACAAGTACTCTTGTTACAATGGGGGTGCCAGTAATCATGGAACACTAACCTTGGCAAAGGATTCTGGGTGGTCAGCATGCCTGCTGCCTTTTGACATGGTTGGTGCCCTGGGTTTAGATTACTCTAGCTATTAAGGTTACTATTTGATACACTAAATATTGCCTGATTCAAAAGACTTGGCTTAAATTTTTTCTGTATTTTAACTTGTCTGGGATTTTTCTATTTCTTATATTTTTATAATATTTTCTCATTTTTTAGATTAATAAACATTATACTTACCCACATGTGCCAGGATGTGCCACTTGGGTATCTCTGGGAGTTAGCTGTTGTTCAGTGTCATGACCTGCCCTATATGTTCTGTGCAGAGTGAGGTGCATTCTCCACCACTGATCCTTTCTGCAATTATTGTCTCTGCTCCTTACAAAAACACATAATTGATATGTTAATTCAATAAAGCAGATCAATAAGGAATGAAATGCATGCCCCAACGCATATGCAATGAAAACTGACCATTTATGCAGTTATTGAACCCAACTAAGACTATCCATTTTAAAGTTGATATGTGCTTGCTTTTGGAATGTGTTATGCATTGATGCAAAGTGAATGGATCTAAGTAATTTATTGGGCATCTCAACTGTTTTAATTGTCTTAACCTAAGTTTTCTTTCTGGACCTTTAAGGCATATGATTAAATGATAAAACTGCCTGTATAACTGTCAAAGAAACAAATGTTAAAGGCTAGAACCTGGCTAAAGAATAAACAAAGAAGTTCCTATTGTATGAATGAAGTAATATTCCTAAGTCAAATAATAAATTTTCTTACATTAACATTTTCTTGAGCATATAAACTCATGAGGCTAATTTTTATAAAAGTTGTATTTAATATGTAGAAACAATTAAAGGCTTAGAAAACAATATATTGTATTTAGCAGAACAGAGAAAACACATGAGAATAAGTTTACAGGACCAGGCCAGTTCTCTATTTAAATATCCTTACCACTGAGAATATTTCTTCAAATATGTTTAACTGAGGATCCAAATACTTGTTGTATTCATAATGTTGTTTCTTTAAAATGTGTTATCCCTATTGCCTTCATCTGAACCATTCTTTCCTCCAACCATCACTTGGTCAGTTTTTGTCATTCTCTTGTCCACTGACCTGTTTCTGGGGACAGTCACCCTACTAAGTGCTACATCAACCTCAGGAATCAGATCTACCAGGATATCAAGTTTATTTTTTTTTAATTTTACCAAAGACAAAGAAAGCTAGATACTAATTAAAGTGGCAATATATATTTTTAATCAGTGATAAACTATTGAAATAGGGAAGAGGGCCCATCATGAACTGAACTCAACTTCAATTTATGCAGAGGTGATTGGATATTCTGAAGGGTGAGTGAGGGAGTAGGAATGGAAAATTTCTTTGGCTTGAACAGAGTTGGGGGAATGAAAATGTTTTAAAGGAAGTTGTTCCATGAAACTTATCTGAGTTTGCCCACTGTTGCTTATTATCAAAGTTTTACTTCTGTCCTCCCACAGAGACTGGGAAACAGGGTCTGTCTTCAGGTGTTGGCTGAAAACAATCAGAAATTCCTTTCGGCAGCCCTGAGCTTTCCCAGACAGGAACTAAAGAGGGCAGAAGTCATCTCCTAGGGATGCTGCCTTGAGTTATTAAAAACTATGTAAGTGTTTGTTCAAGTCTTTTAATGTGACAGTGTGTTGTGGTGGATGGAATTATCTGTACTGAGAATCTGTGGTTTTTATAGGCCAAGTTTCAGGTCTGGTCAAGAAGAGGGCTCAGAAAAGCCAAGCTAGAGTGTTCCCAAGGACAGAATCTTTGACTATGCCAACTAGGCAGGACACACACACACAGACACACACTCCACAACCTTTGCTCTTTCTTCTTTGTCAACTCTAAAGACAGAGGTCGAAGTCAGTAAACAACTAGAACAAATTAGGAAATTCTTCTAGATTGTTTTTCCAGCTCCTATTTCATGTGTTACATGTGAAATCGGAATCTGTTAGCACTCATCTGGGCTGCCATTACTCATTTTGCCTCCTTTGCATTTTTTAACAAAGATTCAGAGTCATTTCAATGGTAAGGCTTGAAAACCTCATGGGAAAGGAGGTTCTAGAAATATTTGTTAAATTTTCTATGCAAACATCACCTCTATAGAGAGATGGCTTTGGCCCTAAGTCATGCATTGGCCTCTGGGTGTCCCTGACTAGCAGTCCTGACCTTCTGGTCATAGAGACCACCAGATCCTCACTCTCCAGTGCATCACAGTCTAGTGGGGGAAACATTCATATGAACAGATGATTTAAATAAAGTGTAATGGCAGTGAGGATGACATTTATAAGCTAGGTTCTTATGGGAGCCCAAAAGAGCAGTTGTGAACCCATCTGAAGATCTGGACTTGGAAGAGCATGAGTTGTGGGGTGGGTGGGAAGTCAAAGATGGATCCACAGAAAAGATACCTCAGCTGGTTCCCTAATGATGAGATGAAGTCAATGGAGCAACAAAGGCAAATACGAGGGTCTCAGTGGGAGCAACAGCATGAAGCCAGTATGGAAGTCTGGATGGGCAGAGTGTACATGAGGATGAGAACAAAAGGCACATGGTATTTATTACTGGAGCACACAGAGTATGTGAGGAGGTGGCAGTTGATGGGACAGAGAAGTGGGCACGAGCTGGATTAGGAAAAAGAACATACGGCATTCTGTGGTCTTTAACACAGGTCACTCCTCCGAATCACAGATGCTTAAGCCTCTCTGGGATTAGGATGCAGCTGGTTTGAGGTGGACCCCAGCCATCCAGTTTTATTTAAAAGCTTTTTACTTGAATAGCCAAGGATGAAAGCCATTGCTAGCGAGAGCAGCTAAATATTTTCCACAGTAGGAAGGAGAGGGACCTGTCTGATGGATAGCTAGGACAGCTCACCCTGGCAGCAGGGGGAAAATGACAGAGTAGGAAACACAGGGAATGGGCAAACATGGAAAAACCAGTTAGGAAACTGTTTCTGGAGTTAAAAAATAATAAAGCCTTATTTAGAAGTATTAAGGCAAATATGTTAAGAATCTAACTGTGGTTAGGATGCTCTGGAAGGCCAGGAAAATGTTCACCATGGGTGGAGCCTCCAGGGAAGAGACAGGCAAGAACTTCAACTCTCTTCATATGATGTCACTATAAGATACACTAAGAGACGGAGAAGAGAAGTGTTACCTTGGCTAGCTATTGCTTTACCTTCTTTCTTTAAGAAAAAGAGGATAGCTCCTCCACAGACCACTGAGAATTTCAAGCCCCCCACCCAGCTGTATCTAACTTATTCAACTCACCCTCTATGTACTAACCCTCTATGTACTAGTACCTAACACCTTATTAGATCGGGGGGCCGAGAAGTATTGGGGCAGATGTGGTTCTTGCATTCATGGAGCTGGTGGCTGGTATGGACATAACACTGACAAACAGTGTTTAAGAGTGTGACACGGGTTGCTAAAGGATCACACCTGAGTAATATCTAACTTCCATTTCAGATAAGGAATCTTGGCTTTGATTAAGCTGTAATCTATTTTTTTTAATTTTTTTTTATAAATCTTTATTGTTCAGATTATTACAATTGTTTCTCCTTTCTCCCCTCTCCCTCCCCCCCAATAGCTCCCCTCCACCTGGTCCCCACTCCACCCTCTGCCCTTACTTCCTCCCTCCCCCCCTCCTGCTGTCCTTATCCATAGGTATATGATTTTTGTCCAGTCTTCCCGTACCCTCCACACAGACAACCCTTTTCCCCTAAGAATTATCAATCTCCTCCCATTCTATGCCCCTGATTCTATTATATCTTTACTTTTTTCTTCTGTTTCCTCTTTTTAACAAACACCTTTTAGCATGGTTTGGTGGTGATGTAATCTAAATGAGGGGGGTAATTCAGGTGAAATTGGGGAAAGTTGGGTTAATTGGGGACAGTAATAGAGAAAGGAGCTGCAGAGTATTTTGAGAGAACAGCGCATGCAAAGACCCCGAGAGAAGAAAAACATGGCCTATCAGGTGATATGGACAGCTGAGTATTGCTGGGACATAGGGGACACGCAGCGTTGTCAGTGATGCAGAGGAGAAGTTAGCAGCGGAGCTGTTAAGGGTATCAGAAGATATATTGTACTCGGGCAAGTGAGGCACACCAAAGAGTTTTAAGCATGCAAATAGTAATATTTCCATTTTAGAAAGACCATGTTTTGCTTCAGTGTAGAAAATGGATCATCAAGGGACAAGACTGGAGACTGGAGAATGACTAGGACACTTCCAGTAATCAACATCAGAGAAGTACTTAGGAGAGAGATTTAGATGGTTGATGATTAAAGATGTGTGGGAGGAGTTGCAGATTTCTGGCCAGCACACCTGGTAGTGCAATAACGTTTGGAATGAGGGGACGATGTGGCTGGAGTTCAGTTGGGGACATGTCAAAATTTAAAGAGGCTGAGAACACAGCCAAGACGTTGGCCTCATCAACCTAAAAAGGGCCCAGTGGAGCATACTAGAAATCAAGGCAGTAGATAGCATCCCTCAATGAGAGCGAGTGCAGTGAGAAGAAGAAAGAAGACTCAGGAACACACCAGCACTTAAGGGACTGAAAACATGATTTCAAAAGTAAAGATTTTTTTATGTAGACTGGACAGAGTGGGTGGCCCACACACTGTTTCTAGGAAGCAGAGGGTCAAAATCCGTGCACTTCAAGGTCCCTAGTTCCTGTAAGCACAGCTGGATTTCAGGGGAGAGACAAGCATGGGCTCATTTGTTGAACAACCTTTAGTTGTCTAGTTTAATGAGGCTGTAGAAACTTCCTGTGGGTGGATGGAGGGAAAAGTGGCTATGGGAGTGGGAGAGAAGACTGAAGAACATGGAGTTTTCCTTATTTAGAAAGGAAAACTAAGACATCACTGATTGGGGGTCTTTTTAGTGGGTGTAGAGAGACATCCAACTCGAGAATTCCTTTTTCTTTGCTTAATAGTGAAGACACAACAAAATCTTTAGGAAACGGCTTAAGAATTAGTTCTGCTGCAGGATTTTTATCTTCCTTTTTTTTTCTCTCAAACAAGTCCAATGTAGTTTTGGATGGTTATAAGGAAAATAAGCATCGCCAGCTGCTAGACTGAAGCTTCTGAGGCACTCCCTAGAGGGAGAGGTGGGAGCATCCATCATCTTCCGGGGTCTTAGGGACAGAGCTGTTCTGCTGCAAATCATGGCTTGCCTACACTATAAATGTTTGTTGGTTTTTCAGTTTGCCTTTGGCTCTCTTTACCACTATTCTTTCTGTTTGTTTGTTTTCTTAAATGTCTACAGTGGTTTCTTGTCTCTTTTGAGCCTTTGATGTTTATAGAACCCATCTCTGCAAAGCCAACATAAGTGGATTTGGAAATGAGCAGGAGCTGTGATTTGGCAGCTCTTCTCACTATTATTATAATCATCTAAAATGTGCCTGAAGATCCCTAAGTGCTACGTGCAAGGCAACAATGGTAATCCGACCCAGTGTCTGAAAAAATACAGCAATTTTCTCTCAGAAACGGCCTCGCTAATGGCAGGGGGAGGGAACGGCTTTGAGGTTGTTAGTGTACATGATTCTCTAGGGAAATGGTCAACCGATGGTTTAAAAATGGAGCCTCTGAAAGAGCTTGCAACTAACCCGATAGACTTGGCAGGGGCCTGTGCCGTGCATTACAGCTGTGTCTGAAGGGCCCTTTATAAACCACAGGCATTTGATTGAACGACTTGGCCAAGGTTTACCACCTGG